TTGTTTATTGAATTCAATGTCACATTTGCAGTCATGGTAATTTTTGGAGAAAAACGGCACTCTTCGTGTGAAATTGAATAACTATATGAAGTGGTATAAATATATAAATTTTCTGCCATCATGTCTTGAATTTGTCATCATTCTAAATGCATTTTAATAGACTGAATCATGCAGTGAAAGAAAACACACTAAATGCGCACACGCACTAGTCTAGACTTCACGTAATGTATGCGTGCGCTCTGTAGGGATGTTTTGAATGGTTTTTGCAAAATACTGGATAATGTCAAATCACACATCGTTAAAACAACAATTACGATATTATCGCAGACGATATATATCGCACACCCCTACTTGGAACAATAAAAGCATGTCTACACTGGTCACATGTTGAGCAGCAGACCTTAATAATTCCCTTCGGCAGGCTGTTGGACGAGCCGATGAAGTTACCCGTCCTTCGCAACAGATCTTCACTTTCATCCTCATCTTCACTCTCGTGCTCTGCTTTGAAGAAACATACAAACATTTATGATGCTGTACGTTACTGGTTAACAACAGAACATCTTACAGGTCTCATTGAAGCATGATAACACTCGACCATAAACGGACGGCATAAAATATTTACTGCAGCTCAAATTAACAGAGACATCCCTCAACAAACATCTGGCCATAACTTATGCAGAATTACCTTTCTTCATGCTTCTCTTGGCTGTGGCTTCTGCCCAGCTGGGTGTGCCGCCCATGGCTTTCTGAAACCTGTCAAACAAAGCCGACGCATTCGGCTTACAAGTGCGCTTTTGTTTTTTTCAAACAAATCGTTTTATTTTGCTGTAACTCACTGCTCCTTTAGGCGTTGCTGTAGCCTCTGTTTTGTCATTTTATTTTCCGCTTCACTCTTTTTAAAGTCTCTGCGAAACCGATGTGTCATGTCAATCCTTAAAAAAATAAGTAAAATAAGTGACAAGCATACTGACAGGAAGGCTGTGAGGTTATCTAAATGAATGCACTGCACATGAGCGGATGGAGCAATGCTTTAGGTCTGCCTCACTCTTCCTCCTGCTCATCGTCCTCATCCTCCCACGCGGCGCTCCGGACGGCCGGCTGCGTCTGGTCCTCCGAGCACACGCTGCCTGCGTCGTCCTCCTCCAGAAACACACTGCTGTCCTGCTCAAACACAAGCACACGCTTCAGAACGGGTCACACTTCTGTGTGTCATCACAGCTTTAGTTTGGGAGCGATGCTCACTGTGAACTCAGGGCTGTCAGCTCAAACTAATAACCGCATATCAGCAAAACAGACTTCATTCCATTGATAACTTACTCTTTCTGACTTATTCAGTCGTATTCAGATTGTATTCATTGATTTAATTTAAAAATGTTGAAAAAGTTTATAAAAATCAATTTATGAATTTGACATAAACGATGACATACATTTAATGAGGTCAGGAAAATTATTAGTGCCGTCAAACGATTAGTTGCATCCAAAATGAAAGTTTTTGTTTACTAAATATGTGTGTATACTGTGCATATTTATAATGTGTATATATACTTTTCTACATCTCTAATACCTAAACTTAACAACTACCTTCCTAACTATTAATAAGCAGCAAATTAGCAGTTTACCGAGGCAAAATCAGTTAATAGTTAAGTGAGAACTGGTCCCCAAACTAAAGTGTGAGCAGCTGTTCTCGTGTGATTCTGCAGCGTGAAACATGTTTAAAAGCTTCCGTGTAGCGACTCGTAGAAGCAGACAAGCTCAAGGTTGTGAGGCTATGTGTTGTAGTGAGTCGCACCGTGAGGCGCTCCGCGAGCCGCTCCTCCGCGCCGAACAGCAGCTCCTCCAGCAGCCGGACTGACGCGTCCTCCCCGCGGAGCGTCGCGCACAGCACCTGGTGCCGCTGCTGCTGACCGCGCTCCTCCGCCGCGCTGCGATCCGGATCCTCGCTAAGCGGCCTCTTCGCCGCCTTCCTCTGCTTTCTGACGGAGGACTCCGACGAAGCCATCGTGAGCACAGTAGAGTAAACACCGCTGCTTTATCTGTGAGTCCCGCAGATCTAAAGCTTAAACTACAGCACAGAACATGTGAGCGGAACTTCTTCTTCTTCTTCTCTGATGGCGGTGCGCTTGCGCCTCCTACCGAGGAGGAGTGTGACGTTGAATCCTTGCCGCCTACAGCTTTATTTCCTTAAATAAGAAAGAGCTTTGTATGCCGTTTTAAAGTACTGTCTATGAATAAATGCCTGACCAGAATAAAGGTGACCAGATTTCTGAAATGAAAGCCGGGGACATTTCCTAGTTCAGAGGTCAAAATATTAGGGAAATCTCACTTGTGATTATTTACGAATTAAAAAACAGGGACATTTTTTTTTTATGTTTTTGTTTTTAAATAGTTGTTGGTTCCATATTAATAATTACAGTGATGTTGGAGGATCAAACATACCATAGTTTTTGAATACAGTTCACCAAAAATCATATTATGAAATAAATATAGCAAATAGCAAACATGTGACCCTGGACCACAAAACCAGTCATAAGGGTCAAGGTCATAAGGGTTTTGAAATTGAGATTTATACGTCATCTGAAAGCTGAATAAAGCTTCCTATTGGTGTATGGTTTGTTAGGATCGGACAATATTTGGCCAAGATACAACTATTTGAAAATCTGGAATCTGAGGGTGCAAAAAAAAAAAAATCAAAATATCAAGTAAATCACCTTTAACGTTCTTAGCAATGCATGTTACTAATCAAAAATTAAATTTTGATATATTTAAGGTAGGAAATTTACTAAATATCTTCATGGAACATGATCTTTACTTAATATCCTGATGATTTTTGGCATTAAAAAAATGGATAATTTTAACCCATACAATGTATTTTTGACTATTGTTACAAATATACAGTGCTTTGTGAAAGTAATCATACCCCTCAATTTTTTTCACATTTTGTTCCTGCCTTATGTTAAACTGCTTTAAATTACTTTTTTCCACATCAATCTACACTCCATACACCATAATGGTAAAGCAAAAAAATGGTTTTTAACATCTTTGCAAATGTAGTAAAAATGAAACACTTAAATGATTCCATTGCATAAGTACTCATACCCGTATCTGGGACAGCTGAAATTTAGCTCAGGAGCATTCATATTGCTTGTAGATGTTACTACCCTTCGAGTGAAGTTAACCTGTGGCAAATTCAATTGAATGGGTATGATTTGGAAAGGCACACACATCTTAATTAAAGGTCTAACAGCTGATAATGCATAACAGAGCAAAAACCAAGCCCTGAGGGCAAAAGAACTGCCTGTAGATCTCAGAAACAGGTTTGCGTCAAGCCACACATCTGTGTTCAATGCTGCTGCATTGAAGGGTCACAGAAGCATGTAGTCTCTGTTAGCCTTAATGGAAGATGTTTGAAACAACCAGGACTCTTCCTAGAGCTGGCCAAACTGAGCAATTGACCGAGAAAGGCTTTGGTTAGTGTGGTGACCAAGAAGCTGATGGTCCCTCTAGTTGAGCTCCATGATCATATGTGGAGAGAGGAGAAACCAAAAGGACAAACATCACTGCAACACTCCAGCAATCTGTGCTTTATGGCGGTGTGGCCAGACTCCATCCTCTAAAAGTAAGCAGTATATATTAAAATCCCACGCATGGCTTTAGCAGACATGCATACATGATACTAAGCGGGGCAGACGGTGCCTGAGGCCTCCCGAGCTCAACAGTGCCCCACAATTTTGCCACTCCAAAGAGAAAGGAAAAACTGAACTTGCATCATATGACCCCTTTAAGGCAATTATTATACAGCATTTTATGCGTGTAGCATTACTTCGAGCCTGTCAATCAACATTAGGATTACCAACCACCCACAGGATAACGCAAGGACATCTCTGACAAAATTTTGTCCCCATGTGTTCAGAGATTAAAATATAAAGCTTATAAAATGTTTTTCATATATTAGCGCTACAACCCAGAATCTGCCTCACCTAAATTTACAGTCAGGAGCCGCTACTGGTACCATCCCAAAAGTAAAGAGTGCTGGTAGCAGCCTCATGGGCTGTTTTTCAGCAGCAGTGACTGAGGGACTCTTCAGAGTAGAAGAAAAGCTCAATTCACCAAAATATTGAGATAGCCTTAATGAAGACCCAGTCCAGAGCATTCCGGCTCACCTTCCAACAGGACAATGACCCTAAGAACACAGCAAGAGTGGCTTATAGACAACTCTGTGAATGTCCAGCCCGAGCATGAGCTTGAATCCAATCAAATATTTCTGGAGAAACCTGAAAATGTGTGTCTGCCCCCATTCAACTTGACCGAGCTTGAGAGGAGAAGAGATGAGGAAAAGAATGGCAGATAATTGCCAAATGCTGATGAGCAAAGCTTGTCGCATCATACCCCAAAAGACTTGAGGCTGTAAAGGTGCTTCAGCTAAGTACTGAGTTAAGGGTTTGAATACTTATGGGACATTCTACCAGAAATGTACATTATCTGTCCTTGACTTGTTACAGTGAATAAAAAGTATTACATCCAAAAAATGTCTAAAACTGACTGATGGTTGATTTCTGTGAGTTGTTCTGTAAAGGAATATGTCATTCATTAGGTTCTCAGATATTTTTTAATTTATTAAAAACACTTTTGAAAATTACAAATCCTGTTCTTGTCCTTGTCCTCCGCCAAATTTGACCTACAGCTTTCATAGTTTTGTTATGCTAAAAACTGTTATTTAGAAAAAAAACTCCATCAATAACAAGTTTAAGTTGTTATCATTCACATCAACTGATTAAAAACATGAAATTATACATAAATTCTACAAATAAATACTATTTTACAACTGTCCCCATGTTTTCAGTCAGTCCTGTCACGTTTACATAAAACTCAACAAAAAATGCGCCTTTAAAGGTATGGCTCAAAGGAAGTGACATAATTTGACTGAGGTGAAGCTGACACTGATCAAGGGTGAGTTCTATCATTGAATTGTATGATTTTAAGCTTGTTTTTTTTTTTTAGGAGGACGAGCTAAAGGGTCAGGCCCTGTCATGGTAAAACATCCCACAAAATAATGCATTTTTTTTTAATCCAAAACATGTCTAAAAAAGTTACTGAATTTCCTTGATTGCATGTTAACAGTTTTTATGC